TGCAGCAGGGCAGTGGACATTTCATTTGGCCTGTTGTTGCTACGAATCAGCACCATCTGTCACTGCCATTTGATAGCTGCAAGGTCATTATAACAGACGCAGGTTCTATTGCTGATGAGTATCATTTCATTTGACGTAGATCGATTTGTTGGCAATGCGTACAGCTTACTGCGATCATATAGAGGATGTCGACCTTCGTGAATATAGAGGATGTCGACCTTCGTGAATATAGAGGACAAGATCGAATGCAGCAAGCAAGTGAACAGATTGTCTGGCCTGTTGTTGCTACACATCAACACCATCTATCACTGCACTTTGGATAGCTGCAAAGTCAATAAAACAAATGTAAGATCTATTGCTAATGAGTATTATTTCATTTGATGAAGATCGCTTTGTTGGCATTGCCTACAGCTTACTGTGAGTCTCTAGAGTATATCGACCGTTGTGAATGTTGAGGACACGATCGAATGCAGCAAGGCAGTTAACATTTCATATGTCCTGTTGTTGCTACACATCAACACCATATATCACTGCACTTTGGATAGCTGCAAGGTCACTATAACAGACGCAATGTCTATTGCTAATGAGTATCATTTCATTCGATGTGGACGTTTTTTGACAATGCGTACCGCTTACTGTGATCCAATACTATGGCTCTATTTGAGAAGGTAAGGTCGGTGACCTTAGTAAGCTTTCTATCAGCGAAGCGCCACGGTAGTCCCTCTGCAGTGTGACCCGAATAGCGAGGCTGAGCACAATGAGTGCTTTCTCATGTGGGAACGATTACGCCGTGTATAGCTGGGTAGAGTAGTGGTGTTTGGTCTGGGAAAGTCACTGGAGCTGTTCTCATCGGGGCATTATTACCGAGAATTCTCGACCGCCATTTTGATAGGAGTTTGTTGAGCCATTTGATCAAGTGCGCGGGAGCAGAATACCGCTGCAAGTATGTGCAGATTAGCAGGTACGATAAGGTGCAGAGAGCGTGTTAGAACGCTAAGCGCAGTGGTTGCTCGTGGAGCTGTCACTTTTGCGCATTACTTCAACCCTTACACATTTGGTAAAATCGTAGTGAATGCGATCTGAGTGAGTGAAATTTAATTTTGCTTGATGCGATTTTAGATATTCATAGCTTTCGAAATATCGGTATATCTGATGATTGTGAAACTCCAAAAAGGAGGGTCCTGAGGTACGCAGTGAAGTAAAGCGATTTAATTTGTAAAATGTACACATAAATTAGCCTGAGTTAAATCATATGACATGGAATGTTAAAATAGCAGCGCTGTTAGTTACATTAAATACTCTAGGTTTAGCGTATTGTTGTAGCACACAAACCCAGCCTTTGTGCATTTGTAACTGCGAACTAAGAGAGTCAAAGCCTTCTCTATGCAAAGTGAGCGGCAATCCCTAAAACATTGTACTGCTTAGGATAAAAAATAAACTCTATTGTGTGACGTGAAGCTAACAGCCCACGTGACCCACGGAATCTTTCCATTAGTTATGCCCTTCATCCTCAGCAGTCCCACCTCCGAGACGTGTGCAATTGCAGAAAAGTGTCATGCGTGCTAGACACAATTGCACAAACAGATATTGTACCTAGCACCGTATCACTGTGCCTCGCCTTTGCACTGTGCTCGAATGACGGCTACTCCAAATAATCAGTTGCTGCAGCGGGGCTGCCGTAGCTTTGCGCTTGAGGAAGCGTACTTTTGGTCACCGACCTTTTGTTCTTTACAAAAACCAAGTACGAGTTAGCGAATCCGCTTACTCCAAGGGTTATTATTGCCTTCCAAGGCTAATCAATTGACACTTCGGCTTGAAACCCAAAACTGATTTTTGTTTTTTTATCCTAATTTTGAAATTTTAGATTTTCCTATACAAACTAAATATCTATAGAAAAATCTAAATCATGCGTAACTACTGGCTACCTAGCCACAGTACCGTATTCTTGTTCACACCAAGCACATCTCGTGTGACACACACACCTCTGTTACTAGGGTACGTGTAACCCCGTTATAGTAGCTTTGATTCTTATGTTTAAAATCTCAAAAATTAAAAGTAAGAATTGCGCTCGGTTGCAAATCGCAAAATTGGTGCCTAATATGTTTTTGAATTTGCTCTTTTTGCCAGTTTTAACAAAGCATCATACATTCAGTTTGGGCGGTTGGGGCTGGATTTTGCCCGTTTTTCCTTCGTACGCCCTCAAACGCCATTTCAACCGAGACAAGTCGGCGCAATTACGCAACTCGCTCTTTGAGTTGGTAGCGTGATTTCCTTCTACTCGTTTGCTCTATCTACTGCGATCGTGTAATTTTCCCGTCGAATGGACGTGGGCGCATCCCAGCATCAGGACGTGTATCATCAGCTGCAGACATCGCGCGCGCAACAGACCCCATCCAGCACCAACACGTCGGCGCCCTCGGAAACGGGTCTACGCACTATGGTGCAACGAGATGGTGAAGGTGATAATACCGGAAAACGAGACGAATCGAGCGACTATCGTGTCGTAGCGCTGCCTGCCACACAGCACCAGCAGAATGCGCCCGTCAACTTTTGCTCGAATGTAGTGATTACGTCCAAGTACACGACTTGGAGCTTCCTGCCGCTTTTTATGTTCGAAAGCTTTCGCAAACTGGCCAATGCCTACTTTCTTCTCGTATCCATTTTGCAATGTATTCGTACAATTAGTAACACAAACGGAGTCCCTACCACTCTACCTGTACTCGTGCTCATTTTATCTGTGGATGGTATACTTGCTATCATAGAGGACCGCAGAAGACATCTCGCGGATAAAGAAGCCAATACAGCACAGTGCTACGTTTTGAAGGAAACATACACTGGCTCGAAGGATACGCTCAATCGAACAGGAAATTCAGAGGATTCAGATGTCGTACGCATGCATTGGGCTGCGCTCACGGTCGGGTCGGTCGTTAAACTTCACAACCGTGAGACAGCACCCGCTGACCTGCTGATATTAGCCGTTGCAGAGCCTAATCCAAGTGAACCTGCTGGCATTTGCTACGTGGAGACCAAGAGTTTAGATGGCGAGACGAATCTCAAGCTACGTCATGCCTGTGACGCTACGCTGCACGTCCGGACTCCAGCGCAAGTTGCCGCTCTCAGCGGTCAATTGCGGTGCGAAAACCCAAACAAAGCTATTGGTCGCTTCGACGGCACCTTATCTGTCTTAGGAGGCGCCAAGACTGCTGAGCTGCACCCTCAACCAATCGCTATAAAAAATGTACTGTTACGTGGCTGTCAACTGCGTAATACAGATTGGATCTATGGTCTTGTAGTAAATACAGGACCAGATACAAAAATCATGCAGAGCGCCACAGCGACGCGCCCAAAGTGGAGCTCAATTAATGAAACAGTTAACAGAATGATCATCTGGCTGTTTCTTCTGCTTTGCTTATTATGTTCAGTTGCCACGACTATCCAAGTGATTTGGCTATCTCAGCATGTTGATGAGAGTTGGTATCTTACTTGGTCGCCTACCATGACGAGCCAGTGGTTTGTCGGGTTTGGGTACTATTTCTTACTCATGTACCAGATGATTCCCGTCTCGCTATACGTAACAATCTCAATGGTAATGTTCTTTCAGTCAATTTTTATGGTTTGGGACCTGGATGTATATTATGAAGAACTTGACGTGCGTATGGGGGTGCGATCGATGGGTCTTAATGAGGAATTAGGTCAGATCTCGTACGTGTTTAGTGACAAGACGGGAACACTTACTTGCAACGTGATGGAGTTTCGAAAGTGCTCTATCAATGGTGTTTCATACGGCACAGGGATGACGGAGATAGGTCGTGCCGCGCTACGGCGAAAGGGAGTAGCAGTACCCATAGAGTCTGAGCCAGACCCTGCAACACGTCATACTACTATCCCGTACGTAAACTTTGAAGACGTGAGGTTATTTAACGCATTGGAACGACCGTTAATAGACGACAAGCCAAATCGGGAAGCAGAATTTTTCATGCATCTGAGTCTATGCCAAACTGTAATTCCTGAAGTGGTCGAAGGCACTTCTGAAGTGCGGTTTTCTGCTTCTTCTCCGGATGAGCAGGCGCTAGTGTCTGGCGCCAAGTTTTTTGGGTTTAGCTTTGAATCTCGAGGCTTAGGCATTGCCCGTGTGCGTGTGACACGGCCAGAATTAATTCGCCGGTATACGAATGATACTAGAAGCTCTAACGCGTTGCTAGAATTTAAGATTCTGGACGTTCTAGAATTCACTAGCGATCGAAAGCGCATGTCTGTGGTTGTTCGATATCCTAATGGGGAATACTGGGTTCTTACAAAAGGAGCTGACAACGTCATATTTCCAATGCTGGCCAAAGAAAAGAGTGATTCGGAGGTATTGAAAGAAACGATGCGTCACTTGGAGGTTTTTGGCGACGATGGACTACGTACGTTAACGATTGCTCAACGTCGCGTGGACGAAAAGACGTACTTAAATTGGAGCGAGCGTTTTAAACAAGCAAACTCGTCTCTAGAAGAGATTGAAAAGCGCAAGAACGGCGAAGCGAATATGATTGACCAGTTGATGACGGAAATTGAGCGTGACTTGGAGCTGTTGGGTGCTACGGCTATTGAAGACAAACTACAAGCAAATGTACCAACTTGTATTGCCAACCTTATGCGTGCTGGCATGTGTGTCTGGATGCTCACAGGTGACAAACAAGAGACAGCCATTAACATTTCGTATGCATGCCAGCTCATGGATAATGATATGCAACAATTTGTTTTTAATTGCAGTATGTATCCGACGACCGACGCCATATATTCGCAGCTGTGTACTGCTAATGCCCAGGTTCAGCGAGGAAATGGTCGTCATGCTTTAGTCATTGATGGAGAATGCTTGGAGTTGACACTGGAAGATGAGCGATGCCAGCAAGAATTTTTGGCTCTAGCGATGGCGTGTGACGCAGTTGTATGTTGTCGTGTGTCCCCGAGTCAAAAAGCAGAGGTAGTGACGCTGGTACGCACTGCTAACAAAAAAGTGCGAACACTGGCGATTGGTGACGGTGCAAATGATGTGGCTATGATTCAACGCGCACATGTTGGCGTGGGTATTTCTGGCCAAGAAGGTATGCAGGCTGTGAACTCGAGTGACTACGCTATTGGTCAGTTTTATTTCTTGGAGAAGCTTCTTTTGCACCACGGCCGTTTGAATTATAAGCGCATGTCAACTCTTGTGGGCTACATGTTTTACAAAAATATTGTCATGGTGCTGGCCCAATACTTCTATATGTTCTGTACTGGCTCGTCGGGGCAAAAGTTTTATGGAGAATTAGGCTTTCAGATGTACAATGTCATGTACACCTCAATGCCAATTATTGTGCTCGGTGTCTTCGATTATGACGTGCCATTCGAAGTAAGCAGGCTTTTTCCAGAGTTGTACCTGGTTGGACCGCGCATGGAGCTTTTCAACAACTATACTTTCTTTAAGTGGATTTGTAGTGCCGCTTACGAGTCAGCAGTTATTTTCGTATTTGTTATCTTTGCGTTTAATGAAAACTACTCGAATGCGGGGAGTGCACCCATGGTGCAGTACGGATTACTTGCATTCACGATGGTGGTCTTAATTGCCAATATCAAGCTGATCATGGTGCAGATGTCCTGGAATGCTTATAGTTTCGTCGTTTGGACTACAGGTGTGGTTGCATATTTGCCCCTAACACCAATTTTTTCCAGTTATTGGATTACGTTATTCTCGACGGAGTTTGGCAGCTTTCAGAACACACTAGGACAAGAAACTTATTGGTTGATCCTTCCAGTCTGTCTGGTCGTTGCGTTGCTTCGTCATTTTACATGGACAGCAATATGCCGCCGGTTCTACCCGGATCCGTGGCAGATTGTGCAAGAACAGTATGTGCTATTTCAGGGCAAACACTCGAGGCAGAATCGCGAACTATCTCGCAATGACATGGAAGCAGGTGTTTCAGGGATCAATGGCATTTTACAGGGCAATGAAACTGCGTATGTCAATTCATCGTCTCCTAGTCGCGGCTACAATGGGGTCTGTATTATAAAATTGTGGTGCTTGATAATTTGACATGTTTTGTTGACTCTTCTATGCTGTTTGTTATCTATTGTTCAGAGTCAATACACTGGTAAGACACGAGGATCAGGGAGCGGGTTTGCCTTCAGCTATGACCCACAGACGTCTTTGGCCGAGTCGTACATGTCAACCCACGAAGTCCGTCAATCGGCCTCGGCTATGAATGATGCAGAAAATCGCGGCAGGAAGTCTCGTGAGGATTCGCGATCGTCTGATTACGGTTCGTCGCGGTCCGCAGCCGTTGTGAATCCGACGAAGGGCTCGTTGTCTACGGGGCTTTTTGTCTAGCTAATGCGGTACTAGGTTTTGGCCTCACTCATATGAAGCGCCACAAAAACCTAAAGAGAAGAAGAAAGACACGTTTGAGCTTTAACTCTTAGCTTTTTAAATTACTTTTGAGCTCGGAACGCTGGTTCAAGACGATAGGGGCGTGTACATACGCAGCACATTCTGTAGCTATTAACATATGATTTTGAATATTATACACGACAATGCACTAGACGTTTAGTCAAATTCTACCATAAGATATATGAGTCTTGTCCGAAGATTTGAACGGTCGGCAATGCGAATTACAAAGCAAAAAGTTGCTCTTTGGGTTTGCTGCTGCACTTGCTTGAGATATCTTACAGACCGTAAAAACTCACAGCCTTAAGTGATGGAGCGTTAGCGGAGAAAGGTGTTAGCCAGCAAACATTTGAGATACACAACGAGCGGCTGCGTTCTATGGGTTTCTCTTGCTGACAATCCGTTCAAATTGTACGGTATCCATTTGCAGTCCATATTTTAGACTGGCGTGTCAGTGGGCTACTGTATTCCAAATTGTCTCGAAAGTACATGTCATCTGGCATCAAAAATCGGGTCTGGGTGAGCGTGCAAGCCAGACTGCGATTTTCCGGCGTCACGTCCAAATGTAACCGAACGTTCAGCCAACGACAGCAGAATTCGCACGGTACCAATCGATTCATGTGTAACAAGCAATAACGCTCCGTTTTTTCATTCAGGATCCCTTAACTTTCAATTAAGGACGTTTGTCGAGATGGACAAGCTGCCGATTATAAGCTAAGCTGATTAAGTCAAACGAGAGCATTGTGACATCAAATTGGATTATTAAATCCTGCATAATGCCCTTCCATTTACATTGGTTTCTGAAATGAGGAACTTGCTGGTCACAGAATTCCCTAACATTTCCACAAATGAATAGTCATCATCGGTACTACTCCAGACAAGCACGGCGGTAAGAGTCTTAGCTCATCTGCAGTGCCATTTCCAGCAGAAACAACAGTGATGTGTTTGGCAAGCCACGCATTCTTCTAGGCGGTTGACACGGATTTGTCACTGTTGATTATATTCTTGATGTTAAAGTTAACGCATGACCTCGTAAATATTAAGCGAACGATAAGCGCTATTTCTCTCAACAATCAAGAGTGTGCATATGATGCCTTGCTTCACCTACACGTCAGCTAATATCAACTCTCATCCACGCTTCGATTGTCAATATCAATGGCTAATTAGTGAGCTCTTGCTCGGATTGTTGAAGTGCCAGTTCCTTAGCCAGTGCCACGTAATCCACCTCTTTCCTCAAGCGTTTGCCCCGCATCATTGTCGTCTTGCTCTTGTCACGTTTCTTCTTTTGTAACATAGTCAAGCCTGTAACTGAAGCCCCAGCGGGCATCAGATACTTTGCCAGTAATGCTTGTTCGTAAGCGCTTTCCTTTGAAATTTTGTCTTCATTCCAGCGCTCTCGTGAAGGATTAATGAGCGCGCGTGTATGAGCCGCGACACTGCGCGCGAAGGGTGAAACCATACGGCCATGAAAGTTATAGCCACCCTCAAGGACAGAAATCAGTCGACCTTCACAACACGTGTTTGCCACTTGCTTTACGTGGTCCACCAGCCACTCGTAATCTTGCTCTAACAGCGACCCGTACCCCCAATTCACAAGCTCTTTCTTATGGGCATCAAATCCGGCTGACAAAAAAATTAAATCCGGTTGAAATTTACACAATTTGGGTAAAACTCGATCTCGAAATGCACAGCGCCATTTGAGACGCGAAGCGGGTGAACCTTCACGACAAAATGGTAGGCCTTCGTCCCAGATCATGGGGTTCTCTTTGACGCTCGAGCCACCAGATCCAGGGAAGAACCAGCCTCGAGTCTCCCCTTCATCCAGAATTTCCTTATTTTCTGGATCTTTGTGGCCGTATCCATGCACTGAACAAAAGAAAACATTGCTCGAATCATTTTCAGTGCGCCAGGGTTTGTATTGATGCACAATTTGCTTTCCAGTGCCGTATGGCGTCATGTAGCTCAATTCTTTTACAGATGGCACCAACTGTCGCACGATCTCTTCGGTGCCGTTCCCGTGATGCACGTCAAAATCGAGGATAGCGACCTTATTTATACCGCGATTCTTGAAGTGTGCGCGTGCGTATGCAGCACCAACGGCCACATTATTAAAAAGACAGAAACCTAAACTTCCTTCAGGGTCATTCTCACAGACGACTTTACCCACAGGTCCAGCGTGGTGGCCAGGTGGTCGCACAATACAAAAAGCATTTCTGCACTTGCCTGCTATGACTTCATCAACCGCTTTGCACACGGCTCCAGCGGCACGTATGGCTGCATCGTAAGAGCAAGCTGACAAAGCAGTATCCGAATCTAACATAAATGTGGTAGGGCGTTTCCCGGCATCATCTAGACTGCAAGATACCGCTGAGTTGGCCTCGTCTGGAAGTATGTGATTACTTAAGCCGAATTTAGAAGTGTTATGCTTCTCATTACCAACAAAGGTAGCAAGAGATGCACAATTCTGACGCAAAAGGTCGACATAGTTATATTCATGCACCCGTAAAATATCGGCAATGTCAGCACGCTCGATATCTTCCTCCCATTTTACGTCTTTTCTTTTAAATTCACGTGAGCGAAGAATTCCAAATACTGGGTCAACCAATGTGTTAATTCGTTCGGGGTTTTCTGGAGGAAGATCAGGTCCACCACGTCTATGGTATGCCATCGGCAAATGCTTCCATGCTTCAGGGTGAAAGAAGAACTGCGTATGGACAGTTTGAGCACCAAATGTTTCCTGACTAGCCACTTCCACAACATACTCTTTGCCTCTTTCTGCCTCGAGTAAACACTTTTCGAGCGCATAATATTCACAATTGTGAGCCACTTGAGCAGCAGTGAATCCATATATATCCTTATAAGTCAAAGTGGATGCGATACTTCGGGGCGAATGTCGTAAGATCTCGAAACCCTCAGTAAAATTGACAAGCGCCGCGACGTGTACCGGTGTTTGGTGCAATGATGTGACAAGGTTAAGGTCCACGTTATATTTACTCACAAGCATTTTAGCCACACCCGCTGCTTGGTACTTCATGGCTTCGTGTAATGGCCGAAATCCTACCCTGTTGCCTTTTTCCAACAGCGTCTTTAAATCCGATACATTGTGCTTTTCCTCAGCAAGCACAGAAAATTGTCGCTCGTAAAACGAGGTCAGCATATCCATACACGCTACTAAGTCATAACGAGCACACAGATGAAACACGGTACTGCCCTCGTCGTCTATCTCCGCTATTTTTTCAAACAACAGAATACGCATGTCATCTCCGTAGAATTCGCTATTCTCTTCCTGCTTGTCTCTAGGAAAGAGCTCATTCATCAACTTCTCACTGCACGAGGAATTTATGGCTCCAACTCGCAAAACTAAGTGCAAAATAGGGGTACCAAAGTCTCCTCCTTTCAGTCGCAGCATTGCGCTCGTAAGTGCAGGTGAGTAGCGTAGCAAATGCAGCGCAAAATCGACTTGTTGGTGTATTACAGCCACGTGCAGTGGTAGAAATCCCATGTCGTCCTTTTCTAGGAGACTCGTCTCGCTCGAGAGGACGCTCAAGCGAGGAGTAGGGATAGAAGCTGCGGATGACAGCGGCAATAGTGAATGCAAACGATCAACATGGCCTTGTTCTGCCAAGTTGTGTAGTAGATACACGTCATCCTCATCATCGGAATCGCTGTTTTCATCCGAAAACTTCATGGCGGTCTTAGTTCTACTTCTGGTATTTTTCGCACAATTTTTCGAATACAAACGTGATAAAAAGCTGAAAAGATTGGAATTGTAGAAAGCTACGTTAAAATAAAACATCAATTTAATATATGCCAAATCATAATGACGTTGAGATACATAGTTTTAGTAGATGGTTAAACTTACTTGATAGCATACCCTAGAGCCCAAGCTGTTCGTTTCGAGTGGGAATTAGAACATGTAGCGGATCTGCACCACTCGTTTTCTCATTAAGTACACTGCACCGTTATTGACTCAGAAAATTACATGGAGTATTATATAACGATGCATACACTTTTTGATAGTGTAAGCAAACCATACAATTACATACAATCGCTCAAATTAAACTATCACTGCCATTTTTGTGAAAATCCAATAGTTTCATAGTGTTGATACTGATGAGGATGATGAGAATTCGTAAGGGAGATCTCCGTCCGTATCTATCTCGTATTTTGTTAGAATAAAATTGATCATATATACGCAAGATAGTAGAGAAACCTCTGAAAATATTAGCTAAAATTGCCATCGGTTCCTTATGACGCTTGATAGCTTGTGTTTGATGTTGATCTTTAAGGGGTGAGGAATTGGGCGGCTCAAGGGCCGGCAGCAGCGGTTACTCACCTAGGGGCGCTTACAATGAATTGGCATGCTACCAACAAGCGAACATCTTCAAACTGTAACCATGTGTACACAAAGCAAACACATTGAATTTGATTGTATTCAAAACGATACTGTACAATTGTACAATTGTACGAAACTCACATTGTAATAGTGAATATTCATAAGCACCGAAGTATCGGTATTTATGAAGGTGATGCCACTCCAAAAAAGATGATCCCGATGTAAACGTGGGCTGCTAGCCGCACTTCAAAAATAACACAATTCATCTTAAGAGATGATAAAAATGTATTGTAAGTATTAGTCTAGTAGCATCAGTCTTAACATATGTATTCTTAAAGTAGACAGCTGATTAGACACTTTTTGTTGTGCAGATTGCAAAGAGAAAACTTCGGATCGATTAGCCCGCATTAGCAAACGCACAGAGATTGAACTCGTGTGCTTCCACCAAGAGCTAAAAAGAGCATTCTAGAATACTGCAAGGTGTGTTTGCACTACTATTTCACGAGTACATTTTGCTCGATTCAAATCTTTCGGAAAAACTAGCTGTCTTTCACGATGAAGTTGTCATCACGTACTGATGTGCGAGTAGCAGCCATCGTTCCCCACAGACTCCTCCTTTTTAAGTTTTCTCATCTTCGTTCATACCGATATTCCATCCCTTAAAAAAAATCTTAACCACTCCACGTGCTATATAAATCTCGTACAAGTGTACAGTATATTTCTATTTCATACAACTGTTCTAAATGTGTAGGCGTTGGAACCACAGGATTACAGTGCTTGTCCCGTTAGCACCCTCCACTCTATGTGGAGACACTCGGGCTCACACTGCAGCGGGGCTGCCGTAGCTAAGCGCTTGAGGAAGCGTACTTTAGGTCACCGACCTTTCGTTCTTTACAAGAACCAAGTATGAGTTAGCGGATCGCAATCCGCTTACTCCAAGAGTAATTATTGCCTTCCCAAGGCTAATTGACTCTTCAGTTTTTAAATACAAAACTGATTTTTATTTTTTTATTATCCTAGTTTAAAAGTTTAAATTTTCCTAAATACACTAAATATGTATAGTGAAAAAAAGTTTGACGACCCTAGGTTGAAAGTGCGGTCATTGTTGTTGACGTGATTAAAGAATTTTCTGGTGACAATGCCGAAATGCTCTCCGATGAGAGCAATCCAAGTGGCTCTCTCAGTCCCGTATAAACTTTTATACACTCACCCGGAAGTTCACATACCAGCTATCTCCCAAAGAAAAGGCACTCACAACGTTCAGCCTGATTGTTGCTTATATCATAGACCACTTTTTATTTTCCACCGACAGAAAACATCTTTACATCCCGACATGGCATCCACGACATTGTTCAGCTCGTTTCTATCATAACAAGACCTGGCTCAATGAATCTAAGTTATTTTACTATTAACGCAAGCATCAAGCCGACATTTTTCTCACAATACGCTGTGATTACACTTAAGCCGTCCGAAGTCGCTCACAATGCTGGTGTAGAGCCCCTACAGACCTTTGCATGTGGGCCTTCCGCCCACACCTAGAACGAAACGAGAGCAAGAAAGTCGCACAACAAGGGCTTTCTAACCCTACAAGAGACCATTTCCCGGAGTTGCCTATGCGTTTGGAGCTGCAGCAGCTGGGTAAACCCGACCTCCCGTGTGAGATGTACCTTGGGTGCTAGCAGATGGCAAAAATGCCGCCGAGCACAAGGAGAGGAAAACACCACCTCATCAGTTTGAGTGCCTTACAAGCCTGCTTCAGCGAAGCAAATGCCTGGCTAAAGACTCGCTTCGTGCTTTACTTTGTAAAGTATAAAACACGATGTATATTTGACGGGAACCAACCAAGGATCTAATTCACCGCAAGGACGGTCAAATCCCTTAGTGGAAATTGCATTACGACGGGCGACTCTGATTTTTAAAAAGAAAGGAAATTCAGAGCGCGCCAGATCGTAAGCGGGAGCTAGCAGCTGGCGAAAGGGTAGCGAAGTATCAGCCACAGCGTGCACGCTAGGTGAGGAAAACATCACCTTCCCCGCCAAAATGCTTTACAAGCCGGCTTCAGGCGGAGTATTTTTCTGGATAGAGCGTCGTCTCACGCTAGACTTTGCAAGATTCAGCGTAAGATACGGACGTCGAAGTAACGGCCCATCACTTCCAGATATTACATTTACAGCCCCGCATGTCTTGGTGCGGTAGCTGATATAAATTCGCATCTTGGGTCTAATTCACCGCAAGGACGGCCATTTTCTCCTAGCAGAAATCGCACTACAACGGGCGAGTTTGATCTTTCGAAATTAGAAATGAGGATTCATGGTGCGCCAGGTCGTAAGCGGAAACCGGTACCAAGGCAAGCTTGCCGTAGTGAACCTGGTAGTCTCAGGAGTTTCAGACTGAGGGTATCCCTTCACATCATCGAATTGTAGCAGCTCTGGCTCACCTACTTGTCCACAAAACATTCTCCATGATACTGGGTTTCTCCTTCACTACCAAGCTGTATCAGTGAAGGTCAACCCTTCCGCAACTGATACTCGTGAGCTCTCTCGGTTGTGGCGGCGCGGGAAATATCTCCGAAGTAACGGCATTCATCCAGAGCTGATATGAGTTATAGATTGTAGTTTCTTTTTGTGCCAAGCACTTGAGGCACCTCCATCGATTCAATATGTGTTTATGCTCCAGCGCAAAAGGGGGCTCAAATACATGGATTGGGGAGACGCTGCTTAGTCTACAATAAATGCTTTTCATGCTCGGCTTGCTCGTAAAAGCGCGGTAATGGTATGGAGTCAGTAAGCACTGACAGAACACATGATGTGCTTGCATTTATCTGGAGTTTAAAGTATGTTTCGGTCGCTTCGACGATGAACGGTCTGCTGTAGCGCTTGAAAGTTAGTCTCATAGACCTCAGACACGACAAGTGTAGGTAGCTTGATTGCAGTGCAAACTTTTCCCCACAACATATCCGTGTGTGGCTCTGGCATTATCATGCTGCTTTTGATTGTCTTGACCTCATCAATAGCGTTGGACGATGTGCATAATGCTCAATCTCATTATAATATACTTATTTTACAGCAAAGTGTAGCCAGGCTGATATCACCAATCAATTTTAATGGACAGCCTCTCTCTCACTGAGACCGTAGCTGGAGTCAAGGGCACCTGATGGATCACCGAATTTGGATGTTCAATAGGAGTAAAGCCTGTAAATGAATAGAGTTTGTAACTCAACACAAATCAGTGAATGAGAGCAACCCGCTCCGGCACTGCATTTTCCTGGCGAAGTGCTTTGAAGAATATACCTTACATAGCGATAGACGCGTTCCAAACACGACTGATTTGGATATATCAACTGTTGACATAGCCAAATCAGCGCATATCACCTTCAATCATATTGGCAAACACTTCGCTGTAAAGCGCAGATCTCTAGCGGCTACTGGCGAGCAACGGTCGCGAAACGCTTTGTCGGGGAACAACTTGGCCGTATCATCACCGGTCATACTAACATTGACAGCATCAATATGGCCCATTTAGCGCAGAACTTCCTTAATAATCACAATACCCGTATTACTGAGCGCTACTAGTAATCTACAGCATGGCCCAAAAAGCCGCTGTATGCATCGAAGATTTTTTTTGCCGAAACGTTTCAGTCGCACGCACATAATTGCTTACTCAGACGGTTCATAAAGGTACTAGTACCATCAATACTGGGTGCTTCATATAAAGACCACCAATTTGCCTGCTCCAGAATATGGCATCAATGCATGGTTCGAGGGTCATAAATGTGTATAAGTCTCATGCGTACGCAAACATGAGTATGCCCTTTTGTACATATTTGGCCACCAATGCCTATCACTCACCGATCAATATGTTCATTCTTCTCCTAGATGGTCAATTCAAGGGGTATCATGTATCGCGTACTGTATTTCTTTGTTTGTAATTCAAATCTCGAGGCATCATAGCACACTGACCACCATGTGACGTAGTGCCTTTATACAATAAGCTGTGAGATCTGGCATAGCAATGCAGGCGTACAACCATAGCTACCAGCAACGCAGCACATGATGCAGCTGGCCCTTATTGCCTCAACATTGACTACATCACCAACGAAGATTGCTTTGCTAGACAATGTTTAAGCGCATTCGCTGCCAAATTAAGATGAACCAATTATACTTTTGGTCAAAACTTTTACAATAAACAAGGTTGTTTAACTTGTCGTTCCCTGTGAAAAATTTTGCTGTCTGTGAAAGTGACGCATGCTCTGTATCGATCACAATTGGTTTAGCGCCAAGTCATTAACACTTCAAACTCGACGAAAGCATCGATTATTGCAAACTTCGCCTAGTCCAAAAGGGGTGGTTCGACATAACAGTTTTAAGCTGACGTCTCAACCTCATGATTGCATTCATGCTTAACATCATCGCCCAAAGTAAAGCACAGCTTATTGTAAGCGTGAAAGATGACGTGGAAGGGCTTATCCTAAATTCTAAAGCGCCAAAATCGGGACACGCTCAAAGAATTCTACCTCCCACTGTAAAATCACCTTTTCTGATCCACCCAGCACCAATTACTTCGTTTTACGTCGACGCAAGAGATACCTTGCCATGTTGAAGTAGTTTGGGCTATCGCGAGCAAGAAGTCGGCCAATATAAACCACGCTAAAAAGACATTCTTCTATGAAATCTATATTACTTATTTTCTTTGTTGGTTTTGCCGAAGACAATGCTTTTTGATAAAGCATTCCTAGTAAAGGTGAAATATATGCTTTCCACTTGACGATATTCGCAACCAGCTTTTAATCACATGATATCACGCACTGCTTGCAAAGTTGTTGTGTAGTTCTCCACATCCAACTGGATGTAGACAAGTTTAGGCCACTGGTGCAAAAATACTCTTTGTTAAAGAGGCAGTATACCCGGAACATTCCACTCAATGCTCTTATCGCAATGAAAAGGATTCTGCTGTAAAAAGACATAAGCTAGATCGAAGGTGCCAAATAGAGGCATCCGACTATGCTGTTCTGTAGCATACTTTGTTTCGAATTTAGCGGTCAAGCCGATATAGTGACACAGCTAATTTATTCTAGACCTGCACAATTTGTCCCATGCCGCTAGATTTCTGACCTAGTAAATCGGTGCCAAGTAAAACATTTACACTCTGTCACAGCACCCGCTTGTGCTTCACACAAAAGAATGCGTCAAAGACGCCACGCTGTTCTATTGGAGAAGGCCACTGATGTATGATACAACATTTCATTCTAGGAGCCAAATCGATAGTATGCAGCACCCTCTACTTAGTGATATTACGCATAATTGCGCCTTGTCATAGCGTCGACATATGCATGTATTATCCTGAAGGGATGATCTGTATAAATTTTAGTAATAGCATGGCTCGCACACCACGAGTCGTGGACCGGCCAAAGACAAAAAGAGCTAGCTGACTGGTTTCGGCTTTTTCGAGTCATGAACCCAACTCTGCAAGGAAGTAAAAACGTTTGTGGCACGAATACAGGAATACGACAGTTTCTGTTCATGACATGAAACTCTCTAGCAAGTATCACAGAAATCATGTCTTGTTGATTTTCACTGTGTGACGTAAGCGACACACTCGTCTATGTCCGGCAGCGGCAGTAAGCTGGGGTATCAAGATATGTCAATAAGAAACAAGCGAATATTGCTTTGTGTTTGAGTGTATATTAGCTGAGACCAGAATGAGCGACTAAATGTCGTAATCTTCAGATTGTAATATATGTGGGGCGAAACAGTACAACTGTGAGCTGACTCTCCTATGTCAGGGTCGATGAAAGTTCAAGTGGCTATAAATCCCAAGCTTTTTTGCAAGTGCTTCTGAAGTAAAGGTGGATCACATGGCGCGAATTTAAAGGTCATCCCTCGAAGATAAAAAGGATGATAAATCCATGTCATGATGTTATCGAATAAACAGTGTCAGCACTGATCACATCTGAGGAACATAATTACGAAGTGAATGATAAAACCGACCGTTCACTAGTAAAAGGAGTTACCCTTATCCGAGGCTTGTTCATGAAATCGACTTGGATTTAGAATCAAATGTTGCGACTCTCGGCAATGGCATATCTCCAAGGAGCGATGTGTCGTCATTGGCAATTAGTTTCGTGCAAAGCATAAAGCAAAATTGGTGATACGTACAAAATAAATGCTTCCCATTCGGTGTCCATTTGATGTGTAGAAAGCTGAAGGCAAGATAGTAATTGTGAACGCCTATAACATACAAGCGCAGTAACATTCGGCGCAACCACCGATTTTTTAGTTCAATGAGCCTCTCTTCTCTTCTGCAGAATAGCATGTATGGTTGCTCTTTGTTCGATGACCTCGATTAATTCATTTTTGTGGGAGTGGCTAGTTATGGCAATAATAACTGTCTCATGCGCCAAAAAACGTCAATTGTTTGATCACACAGCTATTTAGATTACATCGTAGCTATGCACAAGATTAGTTTGATGTTACATTTGTCCTTAGTCGTACATAGCATGTAAAGTAGCATGTAAAGTCATATGGAGAGTCGCATTATGGACGCACAAGTGGATGCGCTTAGGCAAATATATCTTTTGCACCGACTAGATTTTCATAACAATTGTCTAGGATGGTCTCGGGTCAAATTTTGCAGAGTTTTATGCCATTGAAGATTGACCAAAGTTTCTGATATCAAAAAGGCTTGAGAAAGTAGCTCGGCTTTACCAATTACTTGTACAAGTGGATTTGTGGCGAGCAAGGTAGTGAAGCTGCTATCGGCAGACATTTGTTTTGAGCTTGAAGAAATCCTATTAAGGAGCGCTTGCAGCGAAATGGAAGAATACGATATTGTCAAGTTATGAGGTCTGTACTCAAGAAGAAGCGGAGCTCATTTATCGTCATTTTTGAGTCTAGACTTGAGAAAGCTATCATAGATGTCGAGTGTGAGTAAGATATTTCATAAAAAAATATTATGCCATAGAGACAAGAGATTCACCACATGTTACCTCGAATAGGAGAGTACGTTTCGAGATTGAGACCAAAAAAGGCCTTGATTTTAGCGAATGGGGTGGTGTGACGCCGTAGACGCTTAATATCGTACCAAAATACGAGGTGGATTTGGTCAAAGCCGAAAATCCCTAGGCGGCGTCGGATTTCTGTGTGAGAAACCTGGTGGCAATTTATGAGCAGCGCATGGTGATTGCATGGAGCAAACACTGGTTCTTAAAGCGGAAGTGCTGCATAGCAGATGTGATCCTATGGCCTTTTATCAAAAATCTTGACCAATTTGGTGAGCATTATCAATTTTTCGTGGGTAGACAATGATATATCTAGCGAGTGCTTTGAGCTGACTAGACTACTTGCCACACGGAATGTTTCGCATACTTAGAAAGTGCAATCACCTTGAAACGCACCGAATTATGCTTGTACACACCGATTTCGACGATACAGTGATGCATAATCGAGAAGAGCCCGGGTCGACAGTGGAGATCTGTAACGCACACTTGCTAGCAGTTCTCGAGGGTTCGTGCTTAAAACGGTTATTCAAAGTGGGAATCGAGCAGGCTTGGCTTGTTCCAATCTCTATGATAAGGATCTTACATGGTGTTGGGGTGCGGCATAAACGGCGAGTTTCAGGGATGAGAAAGAAGGCCTCGCGTGTGCCTCGATTAGGCTTTTTTAGTCCAGAGTCATGTCGTCTGTGAGGTTTCAGCCTTTTGTCGGAGACCCTACATTACAGCCTTGACCCACCTGACGCCTGGCGTGCAGTGGTACCTAAGGATGAGGATATTCAATACAGAGCACGAGACATGTGATCCCCATTTGGTGAATTAGCTTCATAAACTTTGACTCATCGAATTAACAGAGAAAATAATAGGCAAAGTATCTATACAAGACATGTGTGCCATGTAAGGACGTGAGGATGGCCATGTCAGTGTCCAGTATCCGTTAACCCCGGTGGCGGGCTATAGCCATCAATACAAGTGCGCAGAGATCCATACGCTGGTATGGTGCAAAGTGTTGACTTGGTCGGATGGCATAATGATGTGCATAGAAGATTAAGAAGATTTGCTGTGTCGAACCAGTAAAGTACTCATCGTGGGGGAACAGCGAAAGGTCAGCCCAGCGCTCTACATCACGAGCTTAACTTTTGTAAGCAAAGTTAATACTGGGCGCTGAAAAGTGTCCTAGGGTGGATAAGGTACAAATTGGGACCTTGATGTCAATGTACGCGCAATCAAGTGCATCAGTGCTAAGTGCTTGGTTTGGACTATGGGGCACGTACTACTGTAGTTTCCCGCAACCAAAGCTCCCGAAAGGTGTAAGGTAGTCCTACTATCTCGGCCTGGATCTCGATCAAGTCGGATAACTAAACGGGCGTTTAACGCTGATTCTTTCCTATTATAATACGATATAGCACAGTAACGTGCTCAGGATAATTCGACATCGCGATATCATACATAGGCCCAAAGGGCTTGAAATTTATTAAATGCATGAAGCTGTTATTGTAGTCGTAGTTGTAGCAAAGTTATGGTCATAGGCATCGTCGTGATCACAGTTAGATGATTGTAGTGAATCAAATCATTTTGTAGAACCAAGTCCATTTCCATATCCGATGTACCCGTTGTATATAGTCGTAAAGTGCTTGATATTGTGTTGATCAGTGCTGTTAGATGGAGTCTTGAAGCAACTTCTGCAAGCTTGCGAATGAGCAACTTAATGTAAGCATCTAGCGTAATTAAATACATACCCTTCGAAGTTGTTACTTCAGTGTTGTACCGCATCTTGTTTTGATGTAGCTGTCGAACGCATAGAACACAATGTCGATTACTGTTGAGTACCACTTGTATAGCAAATCCCCGTAGAGCTTAGTTGCAGTAGGCGTAAGCTGATAAATATTTGCAAATATTACCAATCTAGCCGAGAAATCCTTTAATCGGCTCTTTGAAAGTTATAAGGTAAAAATTACATCGATAATTAGCCATTATGACAATCTCAAAACAAGTGTTTGGCGTCTTTGACGGCTATACATCCATGTTTACAGGTAGTTGATATGTTGATTTCCGTACTCCACAAAAACTTGTATCGTACTCCTAGTGCATTATACTGTAGTCGAAACTAAATATTCAAACAAACCGAAAGAGCGTAACGATCCCATCAATACTCCGCAGTTCACAGACTTCGGGTAGGCGTAAAATCGAGCATCAAGTTAAGGTGTCGCAACGGTAAGTCTGGGGTACTTGAATATTTATGTCTCTGCAACTATGACCTAAGAAGGTATCGGTTTTCCATATTAACAACAAATTGTCCATCGAAACTCAAGTCATGGCAAGCGGCTTCAGTCCTGTATGGTCGTGAATGCCGTACAATGGAGAGTCTCCTGGGACAGTTAATTTCACTCACTAAGCGAGTAAGTGAAGTTGGGCTTGCGAAGTCATCCGCATTCAGTAGTAGCCATAGTATATCCATTGTAGCAAATGTATCCATAAACTTCACAATGTCTCCAAGTCAGTTAAAGCCTAACTCCATAATCTTATCAACCGACTCCGGGCTAACACTGCGTAAGGGTGCCTTCATCTCCCCAAACGTGAAATGGGGGCTGTCCCAAAACGGCATTTGTCTGCGAATTCAACTTCCAGTTGGGTGTGCCTTGTGAGCTATGTAAAGCAGCCCAAAGCTTTTATGTGCTTCTTCAGTCATCAGGTAGGTGATTCCAGTAATCTCAGTGCATACTGGAGTATACTATGTCGTAGTATTCTCCTAATGGTTGTCAAGTCATGGAAAAGAAAGTCGATGCCGGTGACATTCAGCGAGACTCGTTTCATGTGGCAACTGTGGCTGCAATGCAGTCGTGTAGCACTTTAGGTGCATGGCGTCAATCAAAGCTTTCGGTGCAGTAAGCCCAAGACCACCCTCTTTAGCACTTATATATATCCACTCTTTATCAGATCTGTCGGGGCGAGCTGATTACGCATATGTGTCATTTGCGCTAACAAAATTGCGTTTCATAATGTCAATTTGCTTCAGAATAGGCAAAGGTGTCATAGAAACACTCGCCGTGTACCATAGCACCGGTAAGATGATACTTTGCAGTATGATAACCTTTCCTCGTAGCGTTCTTGCACGGTATTTCCAAAGAGCACACTGAGTTTGTTACTTCTTATTACCACGTAATTTCGTTGTTCCGGTGTAACGGTTGCTCCTTGTACTACACAAAGAAGCCGGACTGTCTCTCACAATGACAACAATTTGACTCCAGTTCGCCTTCGTAACTCAACGAGCTTATGATTGCATACATGCTGTGAAAACGGCATGATGTCTGTTTTTGTAACATTGAGCCGTAAATCAGCAGTATACGCGTAGTTTTGAACAAGACACAGAATCTCATCGGTGTCGTCGAGATTAGACAATATTCCGGTGCAACCGTCAGCAAACGCTAGTAACAATTAAGGCATGTCTGTGTCGTCTACTCGATGAAAACATCAAAGAGACCAGGTGTTATAAGACCTCCTTGTCTGATACCTACGCCCAGTAAAAAAGGGGTCACTAGCGCAGCCATGAAGTAGATGACGGACAGATGTTTTTTTGTAGGAGGTCTTCACCCATGCACGGAAAGTCGCACCAAATCATAAGTGGTGAACCACCATTTTCAAAGCAGGCCAAAGGACAGTAACAAATGCATCGACAAAATCTAAAAGTACCGCACACGCATCTAGGTACTTTGTTTTCCAAATTTCCTGCAGATCTTGAAGGCGAAGTAATGAGTGACGAATAGACCGCCCTGGAACGAAGCCACTTTGGTCTTCATGGATGATAGAATGTAGAACTTAACCCAAGCGCCACTGTAGGATCTTTGGTCCCAGTTTGGCGTCGTGTTTGAGAAGTGTAAGCGGTCTCAAGTTGTATAGTGCGATCACCGGACTTGTATAGTAGGGAGAGGTGAGTCAGTCCTTAAAACTTGGTCGTTTTTCCCTTTTCCAACTGACTGCTGTATATGATTTCAGAACTTCGTCCCCTCAGACTCGTGTTAAGCTTGCAATATTCAATCGGTAAACCGTCTGGACCTGAACATTTACTATTTCATGCCATATTTGCCCAGCATATGTCGTTTGCTGTGATTGAGGCGTCAAGCAGAGCTTGTTTGCTCTGGTGACAACCGGGACTGTGTATGTTGCAGCAATGTATCAAATTGAAGTGGCTGATAAGTTAAAGACCGCTGGTTTAACAAGTCAGCGGACGTGGACTATAAGATCCTGTCTCAATATTTACGGCGGCCTGCAGCAATTGCTGATTTGTCATGAGTAACGTTACATCTTCGTTAGCCAACTCCGTGATTGGTGAACAAAGGCAATCTGACAGAGGGGCGCGAAAGAATTATTGCTCGTTCACTTAAGTGTAAGTCCGCGGCAAACTTTCTATACTCATTTCGTGCTTTTGGATCATCTTGATGAGACGTAAGACCATCTTGACGCGTTTTTGTCCATTTATGTAGGTAAGATACCGACCAAGTCGGCTGCGTTAACTACACTTATCTTTGCACTCATCACTCCTTTGCCTGCTTGCCAAAGTTCCTTCCAACGTCGTTGAAGGTATATGCAGTCAGCCCGTTTCTGCTCGTCAAGAAGGCAACCTGGATTTGCCCCCGGGAACTTCTTGATACGGTTAGCTAGTGTTTGATCTGAAGTTGCTCGGTACCGTTGTAAAGCCAAGTTGGACATCTCAAGAGGTGACTTTCGCTGCGCTGGGCAGGCTAGTAAGTGATTTTTAGTATGCTTCTTGCGATCACGTCAAACTGATATCAGGTTGTCTTAATGTTGGACAGCCGTAACAAAACGATAGTTCAAACGACTTTTAAGTGAAGAACTGGTGTACTCCCAAGTTAGCGCCAGGTATCAACTAAACCCAGTTTCCCAAGCCAATACTCGACTTCGTCTTGACATCGTTGCAGATGCGGCCGATCTGCAACCGTCTGGCCCAGGTAATCATCCATAGTTATGTTTGAATCTCCTACAACAATGTGTCTGATAATGTCGACCGTATTCAAATCGCGGTCCATTGCCTCAAAGAGAACAGGAGAAGTCCTAAAGAAATCCTCACAAAATATGGGCTCATCAGGTGCATACACTACGTGTAGGCATACCAAATCGCCTCCAAGTGTTGCTCGAAGTAATGGTTAACACATGTGTGTTGTAATTCCGTTTTGTAGACGCCAGTTAACGCAAGTCCCACTCCATGCCGCCCCTTGAATGTTGGGGATTTAGAATCAGATCAAAAGCAGCTTGCTCCAGAGTTCGCTACGTGTACAAAGTGCTCGTTCGTTTGCATAGAATCTTCTTTAGTTAGCTTCGTCTCTTGAAAAACGCAGCCAACTGATACGCTCATATAGACTGAGTGAAGGTTTGTTTATCCCATTCATGTTTAGCAAAATTCAATCTTCTTTAATGTTGAAAGCGTTTTACATGGTCTCAACCGTAATAGATAAAACCTGGTTGCTAAGGTACTTGAGCACCGTAAAAACATGTGGAGTTGTGGTAATGCGATCACGAAGATGTTCAGCAACATCTGAACGTGCGATGCACATCAAAATAAGATTTCTCGATGATAAAAATGGGGCACGTTGAATCCGTCTTGGGACCAAGTGTTGCGGAAACAACGCTTGTACCTTCAATGGATGACGTGAACAGAGGGCGCGACGATCAAGAATAAGTTACTTAATGTGCAGATACATGCTGCATACCGTGCCTCTTCATCCAAAAATTGTCTTTAATATCGCATCGGAATTAGGCAGCTTGTCACTAAAACGAGAGCGTAACCGAGACAAAACGTCTACCGGTTGTCCAGTTGAAGCCGGTAGTGCACAAATGGTGCGATAGATCGCATGATCTGTCACTATATGTTGCTGCCGTGAAGCGAGATTTTGAACAGTTGACGAAAGAACGCAGGTTGCGCTTGAATAATCGCCAGCATATCTTCATGAGATGCGAAGTTAAGTACATTTATCGCAATGAACTCGGCGATTATGCTGTCGAGCTCCGCTGTAGTAACTTGTTCAACTTTGAGCTGCATCCGGCGTGCATATTTACGTACGCAAAATGAAGACATACGAATGAGAGACATGGCGGTAGTAAAACTCACGTGGATCTCCTCACATTTTCTTGTTCGCCAATACGCAGATCAACATCCGGTGGTCAGAATTATCCGCAAGTAGAATTTCATAGTAGTGGGGTGTACCGGTGATGAGTAGCTTAATGCAGAGGAGTCCTGAATGTCAATAGCCAAGTCACATAGAACAGGCGTTCCTGCCTCGATAAATTTGCCCTATTGCGATTAAGTATTCCATATTGTGAGTGCTGTACCATCTTCCATTCAGGTGCATCAGCAAGCGCTGTACCAGGAATTACTATAAGAGCCCGTGACCTGGCCGACCTTGATGCGGATAGGCCGCGGTGTCTTACTACCTGATAATTGAAGTCCCTATCCATCCAGATCGTCATGGCTTGTCCGACAGCGATGAAATCACTGAGTAAAGAACCGATCCCAATGCAACATTTGGTGTTACAGTGACAGACAAGTAGTCCGGTATCGCAGAGCTAGGTGAAGAGTCCATATGCGTTTGAACAGCAGCAGGCGCGTGTACTGTCTCTCTTCCCAGCATACTAGCGTCTGATTCATCGGATGGCTTGCATGTGGATGGGAAGAGCAACGACAGGTGTACACGATTGTGCTTGTGGAAACGATGTTGACATGGCTTGTCGTTTAAGTCGAAGTAGATTTCCCGTAAGGGTTCCCCGTCTAGCTCAAACAAGCCAGGTGGGAACAAGACAACATTAGAGTATACGGTGCGAATTCTTGACTTGAGCATGCCGTGATCATGCGTCGCCGTGTCTAGCGTTGCGATTAACAAATCAGTTGTATATGTCGCGGACGGGTACGTTGAACAGAAGTCGTTGCAGATCAACGAAGTACAACTTGTCGAAGAGCGAATACTTTTGTATGGTCACAAACGTATCGCATACCTTGAGCATAACACCCCCGAGACATCGAAGTGCCTCGTCTGACGTGCAAACAAAGCCAATATCTTGATGAGGGACGCGAGAAAAGTCCCGCACACAACACAGGTGTAAATACTTACGCCATATTTCTGGCTGGTAATCCGCCTGGATACATATAGCTCGTCTATATTACGCGCAGCTGCTAAACGTGCAGCTGGGATGTACATGCGCGTGCACTTCTTTGCATCACAGGAGGTGGAAGTGGCGCAAGTTCTTTTTGGCAGCGCCATTCGTTGGAAGTCGTCGGGTCGTTGAACCTTGCAATGAAGTTTTCGAAGGCGTTATCATCCGGCACCAAGCGATGAGGAGCCGGTGGTCTAATCGGACGAGGGTGACGTGCCGCTTGGCGCACCGAAGGCAGCGCTGAAGCGGTGTGTGTGTCACAACAACCATGTCAGACGCTCACCGTTAGTTGCAGCTGAGCAGATCGACTGAGTTGGGAATAAAAACTGCCCAAACGTTTAATAAAGATCTAAAAGGCAAAAGCAGAATCAAAGCGACCAGTGAGCTGAAAACGCCACAGTATAAGATCGCTTTGGCTGATAAGAAGGAGCTAGTCCGACTAACAACGTAACAGACGCTTTACTGTGTGTAGTCGTAGTCTATGCGAACGACTAGTGCAAACGTAAGCTTTGAAGACTTTTCCACACAAAGTCACGAGAATTTCAACCGTGAGTTACGCAACGCAAAGCGTATCTAAATTCACGGTGTATTGCACTGCAGTCCGTATCTACGAACTACACTTTTAAATCTCTTGAGAGGTGGTTTTGTGTCCTCTCAATCAAATGCAGGTCGCACAGAAAATCAAGAAAAAATGTAGAAAGGCGCGATAGGCTACTTTGAGTAGGCGGGGCGGTGACACGGGATGGGATGCGCAAGTCAGTGGCAGCAGTAACCGCGAAGTTAAAGCTGTCGAGAGGAGTGGTCTCGAAGGGTCTTAGGTAGCAGGCCCAACGAACGTGTTCGAGGCGGCCGAGGTAAACACAGAGGCAGAGATCGGCGGATAAATTGGGCTTGTGCGTAGTCGGGCGGGATGGCTTTTTCTTGCACGCTTGCGTGGGAAATGGCAAATAGGGAAGTGTGGAACTCCTTTGGGTAGCCACACAAGAGAAAGACGTGTTGCTTGGCGGACGCCATTCATTGGTGATCGAACATGTATAAGTGAGTAGGCACATATGTACGCACGCGCGAAATGTGTCAACGGGTTAAGCACTCGCCACACGCGGCGGCACCTATGACCAGTCTGCCGGTTCTGCAAAATGCTGGCGGTCGGTTCGTCAGTATGAATTTACGTTGGCTTTTTGGAAAGACGCATCTGGTAATACCTGGATCGCAATCTTCGTGGGCCGTCTGTGCAAGGTAGTTTATCTCGCTGTTGCCAAAAAACTGTGATCGTTAAGGATACAGCGAAGCTGCTCCTCAGCAAACTTTTACCAGCCTGGCTTGCCGGTAGAAGTGTTTTTTTTGCGCTTTACAGCGGTGATTTGGTAAATTCATTTAAGGCTCTTGGCGCCAGATTAAATATATCAATCTCTGGCTATCTCATGTAGATAGTGAGACTGATCGTATGAGTCGCGTCAACGGGCATATGTTTCGAAACACTCGTGAGGAGAGACCGCGATGATCGAGTGAGTCGCTCTCACTCATTATGCTGGAATAAATGCTGTGCATGCCTGCACAAGCTTTATCCCATATTTTATTGATGGTGATACAACCCCGGTGCCTTGACACCGCTGTGAGATGGAATCGAGCTTTGTGGGGTAGAGACTGTCAATTAAATTTGTCCTGCTGATATCAGCTCTGCTACACTTTATGACACAATGAATAATTCTATTTAATGAGACTCAGCTGCTTGCGCATGTTGCGCAACGTTACGACTCAGAACCAGGACATAAAAAGCAACACAACGATGCCTGCAGCGAGTGGAACACCTTTGAAGATAGGGTGAAAGGTATTTGATTCAAGCTGATGTGTCAGTGGTCTATACATTAAGTTGCAACCGCGCTGCATTGAGCCACTCGCAGCCGTAGCGGAGAAGCGATTGAGTTATGCTAGGTAGTGCGATGGAGAAGCACAGACAGCAAATCTGAGATTAGATCATCTTAGCCTCGAAGCAGGCCGAGACGCTTCGCAAATCGACGAGCCACCACAAGTGAGAAAGCTTGCGAGAGCCATCCGCAGGAGAGTTGACCTCCTACGGCATTGCTTGATAAGCAAGGGGTACGAAGGAAGTTTAGTGATGGCTGGCGATACATCAAGTCTGAAATTCGAATCTGTTGGAGTTATTGGCGCATCCTTCATTTGAGTTCGGGGTTTACCTCGGCAAAGCTTCCCCAGTGCCGTGGCCCCTAACAATTTGGTGCACCCTCGAACCTATCTGCATAAGAGAAGTTACGATGTCGCCCGTCGCGGCGCGCCTTCACATGTAAATCGCGACCGACTTCAAGGATAACCCTGGGTGGGCAGCTTTTACAACTGTCTCATGGAGACGAAAGATACAGGTGCTTTGGGTGATGTTTTGCCACATCGACGGTCGCGTTGAGCTTGATAGTTCGTACATGAAACGACGCCTTCAGATGGACGTTCGAATTTTGAAGCTAATTTGTAAGGCCTTAAGACGGGAGAGACGGTAAGTGATCCTCACCAAAAGCGCAATCTGAGAGCGATTGTCATCGGCACTTTCGTCATCTTCAAGAATCCAATTTCCATTTCTCATCGGTTGTACAACTCTACCCAACCGCTGCTGCTTTAAGCGCAGATCTACTAGGAAGAGATAACCTGCGGGATGCTCGCAAAATTTTCTAGCACTCGTTTCACTATAGGTGCGCGCGCAAAAGGCCCCACACGCATATGCGTGTAAAAGCTGCGGCGAAAAAGTTCGTCCGCGCCTTTCGTGGAGGTTTGTTTTGTGATTTCTTTCGGCGTGCAGGATAATACTCCCGATGCAAGTATTCTATGAGTTTGCAGGAACGTTTGAGTGCAGATGATGGGTTGAAACTCGTGAAGCAGCCACGTTTGCACAGTACCTCAAAAAATGCGGACCCCAATGGGTTCTCATCTTAGTGGATAGGGTGTAATGAGGTAAACATTACTACCAACTCCTTACACAATAGATATAAATAGTAAAAAAATACGGTACAATTGTGCAAAATTCAAATTGCATTTTTTGATAAGATTTTAGATATTCATATGTATTGAAGTATCGGAATTAAAGCTCGAAAAGAGGATGAAGCTGCAAAGATAGTATTACGTACATACCTCTGTAACGATATTTTAAAATTTATATACTTTCAAAATAGTCAGCCAATCGCTTAAAGCGTACAACATCACCTGTGTGCGTTGTTAATGCGATCCGTGCTACTTGAACGACACGCCGTTGTCACGACCGCTCGTACCTGTTATATGCATGCACTCACAATGCAAGAGCCCGCGCTAAATCACAAATAGAGTACTGGAACTTACCGAACATGTTTCTAGCGCAAACCCTCGATGAGCGTAAGACATTAGAATGTCATGTTACCAAACTAGAATGGTATCTACCAAGATGCAATTGCTTACAAAATAGGTGCAATATATGCTAATCAGAAAGATGGAGGTTCTTGTTTTAAAAGGTTTAGGTGACCTTATTATATCTTATAAATTATACCTTCACTTCCTGTCACTTCACATTAACACCGGGGTATTAACACCCAGTTTCGCCGCAGTCGTTTATTGAACGCTTCGTCGATGCGTTTTAAGTGTCGATACACCAGAAAAGGATTATGGTATTACCTGATTGATTTTTTCTGAACAGTCTCCAGAAAATGCTTTCAGGTATGAAATTGCTACATCAGCTGCATAGCATGTCGCAGACTACTTCGAGTTTATGTGTTGTAATGTACTGGAGTATATCCTGAAGTTTTACAGCTATAATTTCAACCGTATTACATCAATCAAGTCGTGTATGGGATAAGGTCTTACAAAGTTTTGGATGAGAGAGTTGACGAGATCAAAAGTATGTGTTTGATAAGAAATTGGGGCAAGCGCACCCATTTTGACCATTGGTGTAGAGAAATTGCGCTGTGACTCAATGAATGTAGTAACTGTCGCTGTGTCTTTACATTCTGAAAAAGTTGGAGCTTTTAAGGATGACCAGATGTCCAAATGCTTACGTGCTGCAAGTAAAATCAAGACTAGCTGTTTGGTTCTACATATAGAAAGAATGTCTTCAATCATGAAGGTATGAAAGGATTGCGCAGTAACTGCGTCTTATTGCTTCAACGATTTGGACCAATCAAAGCTGGCTGCTTACGATATTGAAGATGGGTGGTTTGCCTTTTGCGATTGGTCGAAATTTGCTGCGATGGGCGAAAAAGTGCTGGAAACCGCCAGCTGCTGCACTGAATTTTTTCAAGGCCTCACTTAGTAAAAATACAGCCAAGCCGCAGGTCACTTACATTCAGGCATTCATCACGAACATCAACACACAACGCCATAACACTCAGTTACTTGCATCCAAACACAACATGATGGACACATCGTCCGCTCACAGCAACGCACTTGCACCAAGCAATCCTGCCAGCAACCGTCGCCCGCGCGCTCAAAGCATGCAACATTTTAGCGATAAGTGCTCGATTCCCCGCGATTGCTGTACTTCAGGGTCTTTTGTCAGTAAACTTTTTCGAATGGTTGACACCGAACCTTCTACAATTGTATCGTGGTGTCGAGGTACATGACTACTAATTTTATCCTTTGTTATTATTGCGAGACGCTTACGTTTATGAATGTGTTGCTACAGGTGGCAGTGCCTTCTGCATCGTAGATCCGAAGATGATGGCTGAGCATTGTCTTCCAAAGTACTTTCGCCATCGACGCTTTTCAAGTCTGATTCGCCAGCTAAACTTCTACAGCTTTTATCGCGTTCAGGAAGGTCAGCTGACTATCTATCAACAATCATATTTTCGGAAAGATCGACCCGATCTACTCGTGCACATAAAGCGTCGTGGAGCCGGTAAAGCCAAGGACCCATGGTTTGATCCTATAGCTAATTCCAGCAATAAGGCGCCCGAATCAAATATTGTTGTAGCGCCCATGAGCGGTGTTCAGACTCCAAGAATGACCCCGACGCCATTGAGTCTACTTGCCGCGTGCTACTCCCCAATGGCAAAGTCCGCTGTGTTAGACAACATGTCACCGGCACTCAAGCCTATTTTGACTCAGACTTGCCCACCTTCTGTGGATCTGAATGGCTCTTGCTTGAGTGAAAGTATGTCAAAGAAAGATTTGGACGTCGTGTTTCCGTTTTCATCAACAATAAATATGAAGAATGATTTGCTCGGTGATTTGATAGACACGAGTCTGTCTAAGGCGCCGAGCACCTTGTCTGCTCCGTTGGACATTGACATCCAGGATTTTCTCACGGATGACTGTAACATCTCGTCAGGCCAGATTGATGATCGCTTGTGTAATGTCGTCAATCAAAATAAATGCGCAATGGTTTCACGCGACTGTCTAAAGGTTGACGACTCGCAGAACGTTGTGTCGTCGCCTCTGTTGTCAAGTCAAGACTTAACAAATTCGGGCAGCTTTGATAATGAGGTGCTTATGGGCCTTGCTAATGTGGAGCCAGGTGCATGGGAGGTACCATTGTCTCCTTTAAATGACGAGGAAGACGTGGTTCCTTGGCTGGACTTGTGTTTCTAGAATGCTTGAATGACCGCTGATATTTATGCCTAGCGATGGAGCTCAGCCCAGAGCAAAATTTTATCATGATTGTTCCCATTATTACTCAAGTGCCGAAGAATGAAGTCAGGAAGTTTCAAAAGTTAGCAAGTTTCTCATTCAGACGAAGATTAGGACAGTTTTGTATAGTATCATGTTGGCACACTGACCTACTTGAAGTAGGAAAAGCTTGAAGACGTAATTACAATGAATTGTTGACTGTCACGTCTCTTACGGGTCAACCAACATGTATTTACGATTAGGGCTGCGCTCAACAGGGTTTTGTGTAGAAGGAACTTTGACTTTTAAAGTGTGCTTTTTTGCGCAGAACAAAGGGTCTCAAAGAAGTAGTTACCTGATTTATTGACACATGTCAACTATTCAAACTTAACACAAATTATACGTTTACTATAATAACTATCTGTATTGCTTGACTAGCCCACACGTACCACAGACCTCACCTTCAATCGTTGTCATTAGTAACAATACTTTGGTAAATCTCAATCCTCACAATTGCACAAAACTGTTGCGATGGAGTTGCCGTGCAATCTGCACAAAGGATGGAAGCTTCAACTTAAAGAGACCGCGTTAACAAATACAAATAAATTGAGTTTGTGCGCTCCTCGCAGGAGCGAAACCAATAGCTTTAAGGTCACCGTCACTTTTAGTCTGCTCTACTTTTCCAAGAGTAGATGTATTCGATTTTTAAATTGTTCGAGCTAATACTCATAATATATGTTCATTGTCTAACAGTTTAGCAAGCCTAGAGCCTCTCATTAGGAAATCCCATCCTCCTCCCAGATACCGATAAATAACCCCCTAATTTTTCTTCTCTTACGCAAGAGTGCAAGAAAAGCCCCCTCTGATTACGCATAAGCTAAATTTTCCGTCACGACTGTCTTTTGCTTCGGCCGTCTCAAGCCCAATCGTCGCGTCTACTTTCTACACTTTTGCGACCTCGTCTCGTGCAACTTTGAATTGCGGTTACTGCTACCACCGACTTGTGCCTCGCACACCGTGTTGCCGTCCCGCCTACTCAACTATAGCCTTCCACGCCTTTCTACACATTTTCGCGTTCATTCTCTGACTTCTTGTGTGCTACGTATTAGATCGAGAGGACGTTAGAATCTCCACTCATGGCAAATATCGTAGCGAAAGAATGCAGTTGCAATACACCGGGTCTTCAGGTACACTTTGCGTTGCGTAGCTTACGGTGAAATTCTCGTGAAGTTGTGTGGATAAACCCTCAAAGTTCGCGCTTGCACTTTAACTGCAGTTAGTCACCCGCGTATTCTCGACTGAGGTACGTAAATCTTTGAGTGTCAGTCGTACTAATTCCCTCTTATCGGCCAATGCATCCTTAGACTGTGATTCTTTTTTTTCACTGGTTGCTTCGATCCCAAGTTTGTCTTTCAGACTGCGAGTAGTTTTTATGCCAAGCACAGTCGATCTGCCTGGCTGCATCAGTTCTAGACTCTGGCATCAAGTGCATCAAGTGTCCGGCCATTATCTTAATAATGATGATTGGTACAGCTAGATGTATGGCAACACCGACCGCGGCAGACGGCACAACGTCACTTAGCAGCTAGAAATCTGCACAACGCTGGGTTCATGACAACTCTCAATTTTGGACAAACATTGATTTTTTTTCTGGGAACAGCTCAACGATTAAAGACACAGATTTGCTGAGCTTATCACGGACCCTACGCCGGTGGCCGCAAAGAGCTGTACGAACATTCCGGCTGCTCGTCTCACCGCCGAGTAACAGCAAGACGCAATCTTAAACTATCTGACTTCTATTAGCCAAACTGCGGTGTCTTGTTCAGCTTTGCTTACAGGTATCAAGGCATCATTTTCAGATGCTCGTCATATGACGCGTTGATGAGGTTGGGTAGCTAGCGGCACACACTTTGTGTCGTGGGCATCACGATCCGGAAGTATTCCGAGTCCGACAAACTGTACTTTGTGAATCTAACCCGTCTTCAGAATGACGTTTCCGACCAGGCAATCATACAACTGGTTTGTGCTACGAGGAGCCGGACCTGGCATGATTACTCGGACGCACGTACATGATCAAGTGAAATCCGGGGGCGAAACAGTGTCGGCTGTCTAACTGGGCTCATGCAAAACCAAACAGCAAGCCACTTGCGAGATTTATTCTAACAAGAAAGCCGCGCTTTATGTAGCACAGGCTACGCAAACTTAATTGGGTAAGGCTGCCATCTCTGAGGCCTCCCCATCGCTGACCCCGAAACTTCTGATGAAAGTATAAATGGAAGTGACGACGCAGCCGGTCATCAAACTGAAATTTAAGACTCCAACGAGCCAAAATTTTGGACTCGGGTTGCAATTGACCTAGATGAGCCATCTACTCAGGTTCTACGCAACTGTCGTGCGTCTGCTCGGACAGGTGCTAAGGTAAAGCGCATTGACGTTGATGCCGTATTATGTTCACTTGACCGGAAACGCTTTTAACATTCACAATCCAATATCATTATCTGGCGGCATGTTCTTCGATCCAGCAGGCCTTGTTCCCTGTGAGCTCGAGTGCGAAGTAAAGGACCCCAACTCGCTGGTATACTTTTTTCCATTATCGCAAACTTGCTACTTACTTCCACTTATGTTGATCCAGAAGGCGTTAAGCAAAATGGAGATGACGATGGGAGATTTTCTATAATATCTGGGCTCACTGCCTCGCTTGAGCTTCTACGGTATGAGAAGGAAGCTCCTAAACGAAAACATGTACGTACCCTTGCTCGTAAAGTGAAAGAAATTTTAGTAGAAGAACTCCTACATGTCATTGTTCTTAAAATGGCATCACACAAAGTCTTATTGGCAAATACTCAAGCTTAGCCAGCATGTTTTGACCCCATTTTCAGCTTCCATCAATCTGTCAACTTCTTAGGGCTCCACAGTGTTTCGTCCAATGACTAACAAAAACGGATCTCTGGAGTATCAAAATTGTTTGCGGAAGCACTGTGACATAGATTCGATTATTGTGGTACACTTCTTTGCGGCTATGGTTCAAGAAGCTAACTTCGAACCGATTTTTAACAAAGTAACATCAGTGACTTTTTCCGATATGTTATTTGCGTCAGGTATATATGTATATCGATCCAGTGAAAATTCAAGCACTGCCCGGACCACTACTATTCCCCAAACGACTTCGTCATTCTTTCATTTGCGCTGGGGTGGTTAAACCCTCTCTGTTTAGCCCAAATGGAAGCGTTGACGATCAGTATCATCAACAGTCGCAGATGACTTACCTCACGGCTTAGCAACAATCTAGTTGCCTGATACGATGGAGAAAATGTCCTCTAGATTGGTCAACATCATCTCTAGATATGCTTGGGCCTTTAGTGGTGTCTCTATAAACGTGATTGACCAAACTTTCTTTTGTATCGGTGATTTCTCTTAAGAGACTAGCTGTTCGCGTCTCAAGAGACAAATTTCAGCAGAGAAGCTGCGGACCAGCGAGCACTACATTCACAATCTGACACAGAAACGCGCTGCTTTTGGTCGGACACTACACCTCCTGTTTTAAACGAGAGATATGGCGTGGGCCTTATGTCATCGTTAGCCTCATAGTCTGGCAATATTGAAAATCTCACTGAACAAGCTTACAAGGATCTATCAAGCAATCGTTATTTATTGCGCAAAATTACGCTAAGTAACCAAACCGTGTATATTCGTGTTTCTTACGCATAATATCAAATCCCAAAAGTTGGCGACTTTCGCGCACTTGCCACTCACTTCATCCTCGATGACTCAGATGAAGATGACCAAGCTGCATGCATAGTCAAAGGTGACGTTAATGTCACAATTGACTCTTCTCTAGATCAATCTTCACAGAGCACTGGTAAAAATAATTGCTTGTTTGGCTGGACCCGTTGGGCTTAATTGACGCATATCGTTTTGTACATAAAATAGTAGCTGTTCTTTTTGAATGATATCTAATATTTTTTTAAGATACAAAGAATATCAAAATTCGACCTGATTATTTAGTTTTCTGAAAGATCATCTGGTAAGAAATCATATCGCTATAATAAATCATGTCAGAGATCAAAAATGGTACAACGAAAATCACATACCCGTGGGTTTTAGACCACAAGCAAAGTTTGTGCCAACAAGTGGAGGCACGCTGTGGCAGTGACTCATATGGCTTCTACGTGATCCGAACGTTATCACGTACCTAAATTCGTCGGCTGGGCAACTTGCAGCACGTTTTCGAGCTTTCGGTAACCTAAGCCGGGGTGCCTTTACGATGAATACAAGAGAGTCGATTGCATTTATATTTGGAGACAGTGGGTGAACTTTGATAAGCTGATGCGCGTGTAACGCCGCGCTCAATAGTTTTATTAATTTATCTTCGATTAATTACAGTAAAGCAGCATTATAACAAGCTCAACGCGACCTTAGCGCATACTAACGACGATTAAAGAAAGAAATGCATGAGCAAGTTTACAGCCGACTTACATTTAAGTGAGCGAGCAATGATGCACTTTTTGGCCGCCACACGTAGGACAGTCTCAGACCTCTCACCACCAAAATTTGACGTGGCGATGGGTCAACAACTGAAGACCCTGTCCAATTTGAGGCGGAACACCGTAGATTTTGGGAGCAACTAAGCGTTGGTGCAATAGACGTCACACTGGCTGTGTACCAAAGCAAAGATAAAAGGATGCTTGCAAAGCACGACTTTGCCTAGCAGCGTACGTACACGCTTCTTCCACATGAAGCACCTTTTTGTAGTTTGCAACGACATTACTAAATCGCTAATTATGTGGCACAGTACTCTGAGTAGTGCCAAATTGTTTGATGGCTGTTTCAGATACAATTTTGCTGTAGTAGTCCATGCGAATCCTCTTCGCATCATTATCGGCATCAGTTAGCAATTATCTATATTTGCATCAATTCCAATCTGAATTTTATGGCGAGCCTCACCATCGCGTGGTTCAAACGCCTTTGCACGTTTGATGATGTCTAGTGACTAATGGATCAGCTGGGTACAAACTCACTTTGTTCTTTGATTTTTTGGCGAAGGAACCACAACCGCTGTGCACGAATCGTAGTATTAAGCTCATATCATGGTTTAGCAGTGTTGAAGGACAAAAATCCTCAGGCTGCAATCCTTGTTTAGCTGCCAAAGGTGCATCCGCCGCTAAAACGTAGCCATACTCCCTTAATGACTGACTGTCGTGTATAACTTTGTATAATTTTGCCGTGATGAGTGCATTGGGTAGACGTTATTGAACATACGTCAGCTAAGCAGCTGTCTCTGTAAAACCCAAGCTAAGCAAATAGGTTGGTACGAAACATTCTTTATATGTTTGAGATTAGGTATCATTCGACTTTTGTTCACTAGACTTTGCTGCTGTGGTGGAAGTAGCAACAAAATCATCTGATTCAAGTTTGTAATAGTGAGTTGAGATTGTCAAGGTCTTTATCGAAGCTAGGCCCCTCGAGACTTTAAGGGATGGAAGTGACTCGAATTGAAATTGAGTGTAGCTCCCTTGTGCAACCGTACATAGATGTGTATTAGACAATTAGTGTAATCACACAGTGGTGTGGCTACACCGTGGCAAGAAGTTACGACGTAACAGGATTGCCAGTAGTAATGGATATTACAATCTAAAGTAGGTTTTGCTGTATTAATTAGGTATTACTATATTTAGAAGGAGGACTTAAAAATTTAGATATGGCTGCTCTGCCGCAACCAAAACAATTAAACACAGTTTTGATTTTGAACAGAAGTGTTTGTTTGCCTTGGTTAAGACTGTAGTACTTAGAAGTAGCGGGTTGCGATCCGCTACACTTGTACTGGTTCTTGGGCAGAACGCAAGGTTGGTGACCTTAGCTTAGCTTCCTCAAGGCAAAAAGCTACGGCAGCCCCGCTGCATCAACACTGGGTCGACGACAAGTTTGACAGCTACGGGAATCGAGCCCATTGGTCCGGTTTCCTGGGCGGTCATTCTGTGCAGTAGTTAGAAAGGTCGGACGGGTCTGACTATTTACAAAACTAGGATGAGCGGACTCAGACCCAAGTAAGATAAATGAAAAGCAAAACCTTTCCGTTTTCACTGACCGCGCTATTGGCTAAATTCCAACAGAGAAACTCCGCATTGTACTGCAATTAAAATTTGCGGCGACCCTCCTCACTGCTGACAACGGCTTACCCTAGCAGGCTCCACCGATTAAATTCTCCATGTTGGATCAGGCAATTTATGTAGCACATGTCTTCTGTCAGGAATTCGAGTGCAACTCGACATTCTACGCGTCAACGCAAAGAGGAATCAGTGGTAAAAAAAATATTCACTTCCTGATCATGACACGTGGAATTTGAGAACTGTTTTATTAATAAAATTAAAGTCTGTCGCTCTAGTCACCCTTAGGCGATCTTCACCGATGAATTTCGCTTTACACTCTCCACGTCTTGACATGAGAAAGACGGCAATAAAACCAAGCTTCTATACCAAGTACAGCTGTCCACACAGCCAATTTGGATTACCTCGCCTCGATGTACTTCGAACGCTAAACACGGTATTAGGAATTAATACCAAATTCTTATGCTTTCAACACAGGTGCAAGAGACTTGGATTGCACAGCAAATGTCAAGCCATCATCCTTAATTCATCCCCACGACATCCGGTATGTGAATAACTCACCAAACAGCACACACCATATCAAAAGCTGGTACACACCAAGATTAAATGCAGAAGCTGCGCCTTGATCACGCTACTACTTCTAATGGCACAAATGTGAGACACGCGTTGTGGTTCTAATATTACTTTTTGTACTGGTTCGTTTTGCAGTTTTCAACATTACCGGAACAAACAATCAAAACGCCAACACTTCGATCGCTATCAAGTATTGGTCACCTCAGTATCAGGCTCAAGTACTGCTCCTAAGGCAAGTTGGCAGGCGCTCTCCATGTACTTCCACTCGAAAATCAGACCTTACAAGACTACCATCGAACTCAACACTAGACTTTCAACTTATCTGCACAGGTTCAAACGGCCCAGACTTCATCCCACGAGCCCGAGAAATCAAGCTCAATGTGCATATTTGACACCTTAATAATTGGTTTCAATACTAGACCCTAGACCGGTCAAAACAACGCCTTACTTGCAAGACACTGATGTAGTTGCAACCAACGTCAAGACCTCAATCGCAACATTGGCGAGACCAAGGGTTCTTTGCCACACAAGTGCTACAACAAGTTGTCGATTCTATCAGAGTTGAAGAGAGTTCAGTACCGCATACTGGCTCAGATAATGAGAGTCGTAGCTAATGAGATGTTGACTTTATGCTTCCACTATCGGGCTCCGACCAGCGTAGACACTACGGCAAACAGTAAGTACTACGAGATTTGTAGCATTATACTTAACCATAGATAAAAAAAATAGCTGAGCAATAACCGAAAAAGTCAACGAAGTTTCAATTCTCCAAATATTGATATGCTAGGTCTCACGAATATTCATAATTACATAAAGTGTTGTACAGTTGTACAGTGTAACCAAATTTAATAAATTGTACCAAATGCGAAAGGGTTGTACACAATATTAAAGTAGTTGCTTTGTTACACCCTGCCCCACTATAATGTGGACATCATTGGGTTCACACTCATTTGCCACCTCAAGCCACTGCACAAAACCGACCGCTCCATGAGCAACGACTGTCCCTGGAGTTTCGCTCTGCGCTCAACAATTAACGTGCTATCTATTTTAGCATACTTGCACTGGGAGCCCTCTCCCGTGTACAAAGAATAAGATTCAACGAGCTCTGGGCTAAAGCGTCGTTTGCTACCGACACGATGAAAGCAATTTTAGGTGGGATTCTCTATGAGAGCGGGCCCAGTGACTTTCTAAGTCCTGACCAGACATCGTTGCCCTTACTTGGTGATGCGCGGCCTGGGGTGATGCGCGGCCTGGTCATTCTCATCGGGGGGGTACACTCATTCATCTCAGCCTCCCCGCTGCACAAGCCTCAAAAACCGTGCCTTTTCTCATCTCAAAAGTATTTTGAGACCCACTTTTGGAGCCCACGACGGTATATAGCTCGTTGGTGACAAGTTAGACGTGGCTCAAGGAGTTCAGCCTGCTATACTGCAAGCACAAGAGTCACACTGACTCTTACCCAAATCACGTCGTGGTATCAGTAGCCGTCTACGGTCTCTCGTCGTGCTGATTCAAAGCCTAAACACGCCTATATGTGGGCTTTCCTCATGCATCAAGGTCTGAGTGGAAAAACAATTGCTTTGCGAGCGCATTCTCATTCT